GCTAACTTTCATATCTGCTTGTCTTGACATATACAGTTGAAACAGTCTTAAAGTTTTCTTAAAAGACACAAAGCAACGTGCTTAACTACCGTTAAATAATTTAATGTGCCATTCCTACCTAAGTGATGTATACTACTATAACGTTCAAAATGAATTCATTAAAGCAAACTCATTTTACCCTGACCAAAGTTTCGATTTATTGCTCTGAAAAATCAGGTACCAATAAAGTTCATGAGCCTCTCACACCAGCAAAAAAAGGTCTATCGGAATAATGCAAAAAGCTGCTCAGCAACTACCTGAAGCACTAATTACCTCTAAAGCGATAAGGCAATTCATGAAACAAGCAAGGTGTAGCACCGAAACCGATGAGCACATACATATGTGAAACTTGAAAATTTACAAGTCACAGCAAGAATTACAGCCTTTCCAAACGATATGCTACATACACCATCCGTATCACTACACTTAACACTGAACAAACGATGTAGTGCTCTATCAGACGAAGATAAGGCTGAGCGGTAGGTTTGTGTTTAACACACGTGACCCCGGGACCTGTTGAAGTAAATAATCTTAAGCCTGTCTATCCGCGGCAATTTGCCTCTGCGACGGAAGGCTGATTAGGTGAAATCAACAAAAGAATGAAAATAACATGGAGCATGTAGAATGGACTGAAAATATTCCTATCCGGAAAACTACCCTTGTACCAAAAACGGAAAGTTTTCGAGGAGTGTGTTCTCCCAGTACTAACCCGTGGGCGCGAAACGGCCTATAAACCGGAAAACCATTCATAAACTTCAGACAACCTAACAGCATGGAATAGGTACGTTGGGAAGCGCAAGAATATATATACGTAGACGAATGAATGGATAAGGCCCATACAACAATCCGCGATGTCCTTGTCCAAGTGAAGAAGTTAAAGTGGCAATGGAAAGGCAACGTTACAAGAAAAATCGAACAGAAAGATAGACTGAATTCCAGGTAAACGGCCCATAAGAAGGCCTCCAGATCAGTGGCGGAATGAACTGAAGATGTTCGCTAGATCAAGATTGACACAAATTGCTAAAAACAGAAGTCCGTGACACCCTGGCAAAAATCTTCGGAAGCCTGCGGCAGTGAACCGAAAAAGGTTAATGACGATTCTCCTTGATTTATTCCCGGTATACGAATCCATGTTCTGATTTACTCGTATAAGGCTTAGTAAGGAGGAAACCTAGCAGTCGCTTTACTGCTGGCAGCAGAAGCTATTCGCTTTTCGAACCTCATCATATAAGACAACTGTCGTAAGGAACACAAGGACAAGGCGACGTCGTTTCGAAATGGACAGGATTACTACTCGCTGTTATGGAACTGTCCCGTGACTCCTGAAGGAAGAAACTGAAAAGATGTGGTGGTATTAGGCGCAACTCTTACTATCATGCTTCGTTAATGAAGATGACAAGGAAAACGCCTATCTTTGCACAGGAATTTCGAAACCAATCCTACGATGGTTGACTTACGTAAAGCACATCACACGTGCGAACACATTAAGCATAAATGGCAGAAAGGCAATGTTGCACAAAGAAGTAATTATTCTTTCTTTCCAATTAACGCCATCATCAGCCTTTTTCGATTCACTGCTGTACGAAGACCTCTCCAACACTATGCTATAAACTTGTGCTATCTGTGATCCTTATCCAATTTTGCTCAAAGAACTCAGCTCATAATACCACCGATTTAGAGGTATTCCCCACGGTCCGTTTTCCCAGAACCCTGTCTGATGTACTTATGGTGCAGGGACGAACGATTCTTCTTGCAACGTGTCCTGCCCATTGTCTTCAACTTCATCATCCGGCAATGACAACGCGTACACTTGTTTGTGTTATTATTATTACCCAATCATTCGCCGCCTTATCTTCTCTTGTTATTCCCAACGTACACAATTCAGGCTCACGGTACATGTTTTGTAACTATGGGTTAGCACTGGGCCACAATGACTGAACTTAACATACAACGTAAATCCAGCATATTTGACTTTGAAACTAGTATGAAACAAGAATACGCATCAACGACTTAACTGTACAAAACGCAATTTAGTGGTCTCTGGTGTGACAGATTAATACCGACGTTCCAGTGCCTCATGACTGAAAACTAACTCGCCGCTACAGACAACGCTATAAAACCGGAAGCCACACAACTTTAAGTCTCTAAACTACTTTTAAGTCTCTAAACCGTTAGAACACCACCACAGCATTGCGCAATTAAATCGTTTTTTGTGCTGTTTTTCCACTGGCAGTCATTCGGAAATGATGACAATGAACTCTATCGAACAAAAATTGGGTTTTTCAACAAGAAGTAACTTTTCATTAATGCCGGTGAGAATAAATATAAAGAATATGCGTCATTTCTCTGGGTTCAAACGGCTCAATACGCAAAGCGACAGGACAACCCCAGTCTGAATTAAACAATATGTTAAAGAAACCATCTTTCCGCTTACGTAAAACCACTTCAAGAAAATGAATCTTATAAGCCACATAAAAGTCAGCTACAATGAAACACTTTTGCAAGTAACCGAAGATCAGGCTGTGATTTGAGCAACTGTGTGATTTACTAAGGCACTCTATCTGAACTTCCCAAGTTTAATATAAGTATAATGACGCATAAAGTTGAAGACTCATGCTAAATAAGATTTAGGGGGGCTTGCTAGAAGATAAGAGAAGATTCTTAGTTTGCCTTAGTGCAACAAGTACTCCTGTAGTTACATACAATAACGAGCAATACATTTAAAACTTTATAACTTCTACAATGAAACACATTATAACGAGAGACTACCTATACTAAGAGTCATGCATGCCGTTTTTGTGCACTGCCGAACTGCTACATGATAGCATCCTAACAGCTGACCTCCGATCATCAACAAATAAATAACATATAACCAGCCCTCTTATATCGCTTGTGAAGTGTCACGGTCATTGCATTAAGATCTATACAAGAGTAACAGCAGTTGAGTCGACGTTTCGCACACTACATTTGGAAGTAAACGTCATTTAGAACTCCGCCGTTGCCGGTCCCAAGCCCAGTTCAGAAAGGAGGAGAATCAGAGACATTTGCGAAGTTTCCAGGTAAAATTAAGCCAAATGACGCCATCGAAAATTATACCAGCTCAGTCCACACCTCGGTTCCCAAGGACAGCGTAGGCTGCGAAAAGTGTGCGATCAGAACCTGCTCATCGCCCTCTGCCAGCCGGCGGCGTAGGAGCACAACAACGAACGACGAAGATACCAGTCACCAACGGAGTCCGTTCTGAACGGAGGAAGCAAACAGCGCGATGCCATTATAGCGTGTCAGAAAGGGCTTAAAGAGAATGACACCGCCAGTGGGAGCTAACAGTCCGAAACTGGAACATATTCTCACTTAGAGGGAAAGACTAAGAGTTTGTTGATGAGGCCAGAAAACATCAACTCGACACTGCTGGACTATCGACAAAGAGGCGCCAAGGCTCTGGACTCCTGAACCTCAGCGGATGAAAGTTATTCTACTCAGGTGTCGATATCACGACGGGTGCTCAAGCCGGTGTGGGGTTCTGGTAGAACCCAACCTCGCAGATAGAACTAATAATCAGAGGCCTGTCAGCGTAAGGTTGGTAATTCTCCGACTGAAGCTACAACAGGCTAAAGCGTCGACATTGGTACAGGTCTATGCGCCCAACCTGGAGGGGGAACACGATACATTCATTGAGGAAGTGCAGTGTGCTCTATCCGAAAACATAGTCCCTCACACTAACGGGCAAATTTAATGCGCACGATGGAGCAGACGCTGAAAAGTGGAACGGCGTGATTGGAAAAAACGGAACTACCGACCTTAACAATAACGGCACGAAGTTGTTGCGGTTTGTGTAAACAACGGACTGTCCATTATGAACACTTCGAGCATCGAAAAGTGCATCAGTACACCTGGTACCGGGAAGCTTGTGCACAGAAGTCGATGATCGATTGGACAATCGTATCGTTTAACTTAAGACGCTCGGTAATGGATGTTTGCGTTATGAGAGGTGTAGAGCTATCAACCAATCACCACCTTGTTGCTGGCATGCTACGCTTTAAGAAATTGAGTACGGTGTGAAGATCTTACGGCGGAAGCACTGAGAGAATCAAATTGGAATCATTATCTTCAGCGGACACGAGAGCGAAATCTGCAACAACATCGCACAACGATTTGAACGGATCACAGTGATGACCACTGATGTGAAAACTGAGTGGCAGCTTTTTAAGAGCGGCATACTCGTGGCTGTCGTCGATTGCTGCGGATTTAATAGGGTTCCCTGACGCCTGGAGGTCAGAAAATTTCTTCCTGGTGGACATGAGAGCTATAAGTGAGAGTTAAGGAGAAGAAAGCAGAGTTAAACAAATGGCTAGGAAACAAAGAGCCTTCTACTTGCATGCGATATGTCGAGGCAAGCAAAGCGGCAGCGAAAGCAGTGGCGATAGCCAAAGCTGATTCCTGGGAGAAGTTCGGTGAGGTATTGGAGTAGAATTTTCACAGGAAAACAAAGTATTCTGGCAAACCATCCGCCGGCTCCAAGGTGAAAAGAAGGGCAGCCTCAGAGTCTTCAAGGACACATCTGGACACA